ATTCTTGTCCACAGATACAATTTCAGATACAAAGCCTTTGCTTTGTAAAACACAATTCTCACAAACCGAAAATTTATGTGCACAATTTTCATAATTAAATAAAAGCAAATAAAATCCATAAATTCGATTTATTTTTCAAACGATTTTAGTCCATTTAGTGTAAATTTGACTTCGTGTTTCATTTCAAATAAAATCCTTGCCATTAGAAGTTGCGCATGTGAAAACAATTTTTTTAAGGGAAATGAATACGGAATTTCATTAAAAATGAGATTTTGTACATGAAATCGAAATATGTTTCCATTTGCAGGGTCAGTTATATCCGCTTTAATTAAGATATTACTCTATTATCCTTTTTAATGAAAATGTTTATCAAAAAATAAAATTTATGTTAACATTTTTTGAAACAAAGTCTTTTTCAACATAAAATAAAAATATGAATAATTGACAACCAGACTCAACAGAGAGCAGATATCCAGATAACAATTTTATTTTCAGGAAAGTTTTCATAAATTTGTATTTGTGAATTTTGACATAAGCCATGGAATATATATGTTAGGTAAGTAGGTTATACCGGCGATCCTAAGGGATCCACTTAAGCCTATAAGCCTATTATGTTATCGTATATTGAACCATTTAGAACCTTTGGCAAAACTTATAATGCTATTCAAGGGGAGGTCTTGCACTTGCTGGACAGAAAGAAAGCAGATGGGAGGCACTTTAATCGTCCTCTCTACAACTGCGGTAGTTATGAATGAAAGGATGGTTACGTAAAATGCATTGATATCTCTACAGGGCATCTCAATGAGAAAGTTGGATTTCCTTTTGTTGAAACGTGACCAAATTGTATACAGATGCCTTCTAAGTTAAGTCTTCCCATCTCTTAATAAAAATTTCAGCACAGGATGAACTCAATGTCAGTTTGCATTGACATATCAATGATATGTCCAGATTATTTAGATGTTCCAAATGATTAACGGAAGCACGTTGTCTGGCTATCTCTATAAGAGAAATTGAACTGTATCGTCATCTCGTTTGGAGATGTGTAGCAGTCAAAGAGTTTTCTAGATGTAAACTGGGACCATAAAGTACCTTTACTGTCCAATAATATGTATATATTCCTAATAAATATATCATATACTTCCAGACAAACTTCAGCCTGTCTAATAGCGATCACCTCTGCCTGAAAATGCTTATGTGACTTGATAACTTTAAAAACCATATTTAATATTGAAAGGAGTATATAATTTTAACGTGATTTTATTGAATTTTGAGATAAACTTAGTATATTTCCAAAAGTCTTTTTTCGATGTTTTG